TGCCACATTTGTTAAGTGAATCACTGCAATTGTTAAATTAGTAACACGGTTGTGAAGTGAATCTGGATTGACTTTGCTTGTCAGAAAGTCACAAAAGATAATCGCATGGCCTCCAGGACTCTGCAACCGTCATAAATGTGAGTCAGTAGTCAAGCATCCAAATGTAAAACACGTGACCATGGGGATGCTACAACGGTTATAAGTGTGAAAAATGGTCATAAGTCACTTTTTCCAGTGCCGTTGTAATGGTCACTAAATGAACTGTTGCAAGTAGAGGACTAAAGGTAAGATAAAGGTAAAGGTTCTCCTCGCACATATATGCTAGTCCAGTGGTGGGTTTCAAATTTTTTTACTACCGGTTCTGTGGGTGTGGCTTGGTGGGCGTGGCAGGGGAAAGATACTGTAAAATGTCCTTTCCCTCCCCAATCCAAGGGAAGGTTACTGCAAAATCCCCATTTCCTCCCAATCAGCTGGGACTCGGGAGGCAGAGAATAGATGGGGGCGGGGCCAGTCAGAATTTTTACTACCAGTTCTCCAAACTACTCAAAATTTCTGCTACCGGTTCTCCCGAACTGGTCAAAACCTGCTGAAACCCACCTCTGTGCTAGTTGTTCCCGACTCTAGGGGGCGGTGCTCATCTCCGTTTCAAAGCTGAAGAGCAAGCGCTGTCCGAAGACGCCTCCGTGGTCATGTGGCCGGCATGTCTAAACGCCAAAGGCACATGGAACGCTGTTACCTTCCCACCAAAGGTGGTCCCTATTTTTCTACTTGCATTTTTTACGTGCTTTTGAACTGCTAGGTTAGCAGAAGCTGGGACAAGTCACAGGAGCTCACCCCGTTATGCAGCACTAGGGATTCGAACCGCTGAACTGCCGACCTTTCGATTGACAAGCTCAGTGTCTTAGCCACTGAGCTGCCATGTCCCCAATAGAGGACTACCTGTATTTAAATTGCATTTATTATTATTTAAATGTATTAGCCACCCAATTCCATTGGACTCTAGGCAGGGTACAAAATGAGGGAAAACATAAAAGCGGCTAAAACATTGAATCAAACAGACAGCCCAGATGAAAATAATCTAAAAGGCAGCAAAAACAATTGAACAAATAATAAACATAAACCCCAAGCTTGGGACCAAAGCCAGGAGTTGATGTTTATTTAACTTGGAATCAGAAAATATACATCTTACAGTAGCAACACTTAGTCAATAACTATGATTACGCAAATTAGAATAAAACAGGTATCTATCCAAACGCTGAAAAGAATTGTATAAATGATTTACACAAATGCAGTGCTGGTTGTTATAATGCACCGTTTTGCCATGCTGATTCCCTTTATCTCGTGTAATGAAATTCTCTTTTAGTTATTTCATAAAATGATTGTTATAGAGGGAAAACCCTCTGATTATCCTTGATGCTTGTATTCCTTTGCATTACATGTGAATAGTAATAAGTGGATAAAGGAAACAGATATTGTGCATTCCTGTGAAATGAAAAAATGGTAGGACAAGAAAGGAAGTATAGCCACAGTTTTAAAGCTACCCTGATCTCGATCTCTCTGTGTTCCTCCCTCCCTCCCCCCTCCCTTCCTTCCCCTCCCTCCCAATATCTGGTAGATTGCCACAAGACCAAAACTGTGGGTGTTAGCAGCCCCCCCCCCAATCTTCTTGAATTGGATCTCTCTTAAATTGACTGATCCAATCCTTCTTCCTCTTCCCTGCTGCCAGTTTTGTATTTTGCAAGCCTCAGTCCTTCCTCAGACAAATTATTGGGCCCTACTGGTTAAGTTTGCTGATCTCTTTCTTGGCTGAGAATTTGCAACACCATTCTTGATTCTTTTGTATCCCCAAGCTTCCTCTAATCCCTAAGAGCTTTAGGAAATAGAAACTGATTTGGGAAGGGAACTTTAGGTAGGAAAGCCTTAGCTTCTTCCCTTGTACTTCTTGTTCTCCCTATTGATGAGTAGTCTTAGGTTGCCTTCCTTAGACTACCTTTCAATGTTTGTTAGTCATGACACTGGGTTAAACTATTTCTGTTCCACCCCCTGGCTCCATACATTCATATCTCTCTCCCTCTTCCCCTCCCTCCCTCTCTCCTCCCTCCCTCTCTCCTCTATCTATTCAGCTATCCATCATCTATCCATCTATCTTCCTATCTATCTATCATCTATCTATCTATCTATCTATCTATCTATCTATCTATCTATCTATCTATCTATCTGTCTATCTATCCATCCATCATCTATCCATCTATCTTCCTATCTATCTATCATCTATCTATCTATCTATCATCTATCTATCTATCTATCTATCTATCTATCTATCTATCTATCCATCCATCATCTATCCATCTATCTTCCTATCTATCATCTATCAATCTAATCTAATCTATCTACCATATCTATCTCTTGAGTTTTTTGGGGGAAAGCCCTCTAGGTCTCTAGTTCCACCATGCCTACAACAATTAGCCTAATATTTCTTTAATATCTACCTATACCTTGGTTGACTTTAGCATCTCTAAGGATCCTCTTTCCTCTTTAAAATGCAGCTTATAGACATTTAAATCCCTCATTTTTTTTCCTCCTGCAAACTCTTATCAGTTTGGATCAAACTTCATCTCCTTCAATAAATTCTCAAACTTCAGTGCAACCAACTAGGCTGAAGAAAGATATCTATTCCACATCAAATATACAATATCCCAAAGATTGTTTTTGTTTATATCTGAAGACACATTTTTTTGCTAGGAGTCTGAACTGGAGTACAATATCAAGTACAGTACAAACTGTACAGTTTTCATTGAAAGAATGAAGCAAAAGAACCAGCCCGCCTCAACCTTCCCACTCAACTGATAAATTTCCCACCTGCAAAACACTACAGGAGTCAGAGGGAGAACAGAGCAGTTAGCAACTGGCAGACAATTTGGGGCACATGAGCTGCCTGTGTGGCCCTCCAAATTGCTTTGATAAGGTAACCTTTGAAGGTTATAGAGATTACAGAGCCAAACCAGTCAAAAGCACAGATTTTCAGCCGCCTGTCCTTTCCCCTTGCTGTCACTGCTACATGAAATTGGTATTCATCACACTTAGCTGTCTAGACACCTGGCCTTGCCAGAGGTTTGCTGAGCTCCTTAGTGGTTTGGGTGACATGCATACAATTATCTTCACAAAGCTAGGATGTGACTGATGACACCCACACTGGACAGCTGGATCTGTCTTCCTTCCTTCCTTCCTTCCTTCCTTCCTTCCTTCCTTCCTTCCTTCCTTCCTTCCTTCCCTACTTATGCTAATTATTTCCAATACAGTAGGCCCTCTTGTAGAACAAATTAGACCTTCCTATTGTGCTATGGGTTTCTTTCACCATCTACTATAGCTGTTCTTTCCTCTCCAGCCTACTGTTTCCTCCTATTCATTCTTCTCTTTTTCTCATAAAGGTTCGTTTTAAAATCTAAATGCTAACTGGATGTTTATGCTGCAGCTTTAGCTTATCATTTTTACCTTGGCTTGTGTTTAAGCAGAGATCCCTAATCACAATTCTGCTGGCCAATGGCCTCCTAGCTTAGCTTGCAGGCAAATGTGTCCTGGGAAAAGAGAATCCACAGGTTTCAACTTATTTAATTGAAATGAACATTTGGCAGGTCATTGGCTAAATTGCTATGACAGCATAAAAAGTTTATAAATATTCTAACTTCTCGGTGATGAGTTGTTTATACAAAGATAGTAGATCCATAAATGGTTGTTTTAGGAGGAAAACGGATGTTATTTTAAAATATGCCCCTTTTAGGCTTATGCAGGTCCTCAAAAGGCAATTTCTACAAAATAAATAGATTGCCTAAATAAAACTAGGACAATGACACTATTGGACTTAAAGTACAATAATTAAATATGATCTTAAGATACTCCAACAAAAACAATAAAGTTACTACCAACATTCCACCCAACATTTCAAAGTATATCAAATTAAAAAATCCTAGTGCTGAAAGTTCAAAATAAATAGCTATTTAATGTTTGTTTAAAGAACTAAATTGACAGGGCTCAATCTATTTCAGTTAGGATAATAATAATCTACAAATCTATGACCTCAGCTGAAAAGGACATATCCCTTGAGTTTATACAAAGGATTTGGAAGCCAATCTCAAAGTGAAGATGGAGTAGCAGTTCTTCTTGTAATCTGGGCACAAAATCATAAAGGTCAATACTTTTAGACTGTTAAAGATGGCCCAGCAATCAAACATCAACTGTTTTTCCTTGTCATCTTCCAAGCAGTTGCATGAACTGTGGTTTCTGATCAAAGGTAGTTCTCAAGTCACATAAATCAAGATAGGCATAGCAGGGCATGGGGGGACTAAGTCAAGGTCTGTTCTTGGGTACCATCACAAGCTCAAAACAATTCTAGCTACTGTCACAGACATCCCCAAGAGTAGGCAAATCTCCCCTGTTCAAAAGGAACCATAACCCCAACCAACATTGGTCATAAATTAGCTGACTTCTCGACCCACACATTGTCCCTCTTTGGGGGTTATGTATTAATTTATATGCTTTTGTCTTTGGCTCATTTGGAGGAAGTCCTACTGAAATCTGTATGTTTTGCAAAAAGAAATTCAAATAGTATGCTTCTACCCACATGGGTATCTTTGGAGGTTGGGGAAAGTATATGAAAGTCTTCAGAGCTTGGGGATGGCAAAGAATGCATTGTGCCATGTGTTGTGACAAGGATGCATCACAACACATGTGTGATGACTTCATTATGCATAGGCCACCCTGACTTCTGCACCTGCCTCAAGACATTGAGTATATATTTGCAACATTTGTGTGATATCATAACACACATGTCTTTATGGCATCATTATTTACTGTGAATGCTGCTAAATATGCATTGGTTAGGGAAGACTCAAGACAATAAAAGCAGGTTTTTATTGAAAGCTAATTTTATTTTGAAGCTAACTATGGAAGCAAAGACTTAGTATGAAGGCAAACAATCACATGTCTTGACTTTTCCTTCCAAGCAATCTCCTGTGGAGTTCCCAGAGCTCCGAAGAACGGGGTTGTTTTTGGCAGGGAGTACACCATGGGCAGCAAAGCAGATTACCAATGCAAAGAGGGCTTTCACCTCCAGGCCCAAGATAACTCCAGCGTGGAGTGCCTGGCTACTGGACAGTGGAGCAATGGCAATAATCCTCCTCCATGTGTGGGTGAGTCTACTGTGATCCACCTTCAACCTTCCACATTCTTTGTCTCTTTTTAAGTATGTTGCCTTTGTCTTAATAAGCATAATTTCAAAAGCAACCAGAAGCTTATTGTGTTGGCGTTAAAAGACCACTTAGTTATTTAGTTAGTCTCTTGACAACAGTAGTTACTTAGATGCTTACTGGGAAATTAGAAAGAGGCTTTGTATAGGAATCTAAATCTCTTTGCTCCACGGGGCCAGATATTTTCTTTTATTTGAGCCCAAAGAAAGATCTCAGGAGTGAAATCCTCCTGCTGGACTTTTTTTTTTTTAGCCGGGCAGCTATCCTGCTGGTGAAGGGAACAAATTCAGTTCAGACTGTACAGTGACAGTGACAAATACAACATTCTCCTCTTATTTATAGCTTTCAGCTGGTCTTTCTCAGCTAGAACAGACACATGAATGGGCCTTTAGTTTGACTTGGATTGTTTTTCTTTTCATCTTTTGGTGACTCCAGCGGTCAGCTGTCCTGACATCAGCAGCATTGCTGTGGAACATGGGAGATGGAGGCTGATCCATGAGACTCAGTACCAGTACAATGCACAGCTCATGTTGATCTGCGACCCAGGCTACTATTACATTGGGTATCGTGTCATCGGCTGCCAGGCGAATGGGAAATGGAGCATAGGAGAACCCATGCCGACCTGTAGAAGTGAGTGTATGCTTTAGGAAGGAGAAATCAAAAGGAATCTAACAGTGTGTGCATCTAATATGACACTGGGGTGGGGTGGGGTTGTAAAACAACTGAATAACAACAGATGCAAGAAATATGTAAATATATAAGAAACAAGAAATATAAAAATATACATTCCAGATTAAAAAAATAAATATCGTAAAAACAAATGTACTCAAAGAAAAGATAAGTACCCTGAAAATAAGACCCTGCCTTATATTTTTTTTTGAACCCTGAAATAAGCGCTTGGCCTTATTGCCATGCACTCAGAAGCCCGGTTGAACTTATTATCAGGGGGTGTCTTATTTTGGGGGAAACAGGGTATCTGTCATCTATATCATCTATTTTATATCTCTCACTGTCTTCTATCATATCTATCTATCTATCTATCTATCTATCTACCTTCTATCTATCTATCTATCTATCTATCTATCTATCTATCTATCTATCTATCTCTATCTACCTACCTACCTACCTACCTACCTACCTACTATCTATCTATCGCTATATCTATCTATCATCTATCATCTATCTATCTATCTATCTATCTATCTATCTATCTATCTATCTATCTCTACCTACCTACCATCTATCTATCTATCTCTATATCTATCTATCTATCTATCTATCTATATCTATCTATCTATCTATCTATCTATCTATCATCTATTGATCTATCATCTATACATACATACATATATAGCATCTCTCTCTCTCTCTCTCTCTCTCTCTCTCTCTCTCTCTCTCTCTCTCTCTCTCTCTCTCTCTCTCCTCTCTCTCCCTACCTACCTATCTACGTGTTTCTCTGAAAATAAGACCCTGACTTATATTTTTTGGAACCCTGAAATAAGCGCTTGGCATTATTGCCATGCGCTCAAAAGCCCGGTTGGGCTTATTATCAGGGGATGTCTTATTTTGGGGGAAAGAGGGTATGAATGGCCACCTTAACAATGAAGTCATCTAAGCAACTCTCCCATTCCCTGGATGACCCAGTATTGCTTCAATAATTAGGTCTTGAGGGACTTCTGGAATGTGACAAGGGATAGAGCTACCTCAAGGTCAGGGAGAAGGATGTTCTGTAAGGTTAAGCGTGACTGTGGCTTTGTCTAATGAGAGATTCTGGCATCAGTTTGAGTTTATGAGTCTTGAGGAAGCAGCTAAGGCTCTGCAAATAAATTTAATAAATAAATAAAGTGCTAGCTGTGCTGCTTTCCAATTGATCACTGCTCCACATAGTTAGTTAAAGCCTCCCATAAGGTGCCAGGAGGTTGGATTTGAGCAGTAATTATCTGGCTTTGAGACAGTATTTCCCTCAGTTTTGAAAGAGGTGGCGGGAAATGCCCTGCTTTAAAAGCCTTTGTTCAGTTTGATGTTCTGGAAAATATTAAATCCATCTCCAAATTTCCCTTCTTAGGAAAGATTTCCATATTGGAGGATGGGGATTTTTTGGGGGGGTAACCCCTACTCTTTATGTCAATATTTCTCAACCTCAGCAGTTTTAAGGTGCATGGACTTCAACACCCACAATTCTCTAGTCAACTGTGCTGGCTGGGGAATTCGGGGAGTTGAAGTCCATACATCTTAAAGCTGCTGAGGTTGAGAAACACTGCTTTAATTTGCAATTGTTCACCTTCCACAGACTTTGGGAATGGGTTAGCAGACCAATAAAATTTAATAGATTTATAAAAACAAAAATTTTATAAGGAATCAATTCTGTTCCCAAACAATTATGTTTGGAAAAGGTTCCAGAATATGTTCTTGGTGATGTATCACTTAATAAAACGTAGCACACCAATTTTATAGCTAAAATGATTTTCTTATTAAAAAAAACATGCCTCAAGTCTCACTTTTGTTTGCCAAAGTTTTGTAAAGCAGGAGGATTTGGGAATCCACAAAAATTGGCCTAGGAGTTGTAAAGTCACAAGAGTTAGACCACATGCTAACATGTGTTTTAGTGAGTACCATGAAGTCCTCCATAATATGTTCTACAAAACTAGCCACTTGAAGTTGATTAAATAAAGGGTGATTGAGCAATCTGCAACTTACTTTAATAAACATACCCATATCTGAAGAAACAGTGAACTGTCCTAGTCTCCTCTGATATGTCCCTGCAGAGAGATCTCTATGAACTTTATTGTGGAAGTCCCCAAAACCATGGGAAAAAGACATAGTCATTTGGGTGGGGACAGATCTGTTTTCAAAGCAGGTGCATTTCATCCCATGCAAGAAGATACCAACATCAAGAGGACTTGCCAAATTATTTTTATACCACATTTATGGACTACACGGAGCTCCCTAACATATCATCTCGGACAGGAGAGCTCCAATTCACGTCAACGTTCTGGAGAACCTTTCTGCACCTATTAGGCATGGACCAGGGACTTAGTTCTTCGCACCATCCACAGACAAATGGCTGTGAATGCGTGAACTCAGTTGTAGAACAATACCTGAGATGCTTTATTAACTATATTAACTGTTTGTGTGTGTGTGTCTTAATTTTAGTCATCTCCTGTGGAGACTTGCCTGTGCCATCCAATGGAAATAGGATTGGTACCTTAACCACTTATGGAGCTACTGCGATCTTCTCCTGCAATAGCGGCTACACCTTAGTGGGTTCTCGTGTGCGAGAATGTATGGCCAATGGTCTTTGGAGTGGACTAGAAGTGACATGCCTGGGTGAGTATAGGACTGCCATCAACCTGATCGACTAGGGCCCATTCAGTGCCCCAAATAGGAGATTAGGGGACCATTCAGAGGAGGTTTCTGCACCCATCTTTCAAAAGAGCTGCAAGGTGAGATGAAAGCACCACAATGTCAGTTGATAAATGTATAAGGGACAGTTTTAATCAGCTGCTTATAATTTGCATCATTTCTTTTTTCTTCTTGCTGAAGAATGAAATACTGTATCAGACAAGCCTCTTGCTACCAAAAGTACTTTTATTTTGCTTTTGGTTAAATTAAACCTTATTTTACACTTTATTATCAGCTCCAGATGGGGAAATGTCTTGAATAGTCTTAATAAAACAGAATTAATGAAAACTGTAATGGATTCTTGCTGCCGTTCTTCTTTTATCCTGGCTTTATAACTGTTCGATATAGACAAAAGACTTTTCCACTTCTCTCTCGTTGTTGGAGTTGCCTGAGGCCATCTTTGGAAACCTGATATAATTGAATGTATCTTTTAAAAATATTAGCGGTGGATGAAAAACCCTATAAATATCTAAAAAACTTAATGATTTTAGCAGTCTCTTGGCAATGTTGACTCACCACCCATATAAAGAAAGAGAAATCTCATCTTTTTGTCCTACCAAGAGGTTTAGAGATGATGCACACATAAATAATATGGGAATAAGGACTTGTAGGAACCTAATCTCAAATTTTCTTTCTTTCTTTCTTTTTTCTGTTTTGAGCATAAAGTCCAGAAGCGGTTTCCAAGTGGAAACAAAACTGACTAAGTTCTTCTTGTTAAGATAATTAGTGTTGCCATCTCTGCCAACTCTGTCACTTTTTCCATCCATTCTTCCATTGTGGGAATTAATGGATCTTTCCATTTTTTAAAAAAAATTGTGTGTGCATAGAAGTTTCTTGCTACCATCAGCATATAGAATAACAAAGTTCCAATTTTTTTTCCCAAGCTCTTTATCCAACATCCCTAAAAGAAAAACTTCTGGTTTTGGTTTTATATTGTTTTAAGAACCACCTGAATTAAGACAAAATTTGCACTACCTTTCCTAAGTTACATAGCAGGGGTGAAATCCAGCAGGTTCTGAAAGGTTCTGGAGAACCGGTAGCAGAAATTTTGAGTAGTTCGGAGAACCAGCAAATACCTGGCTGGCCCCAGAGTGGGGTGGGAATGGAGATTTTGCAATATCCTTCTCCTAGGAGTGGGGAGGGAATGGGGATTTTGCAATATCCTTCCCCTGGAGTGGGGTGGAAATGGAAATTTTGCAATATCCTTCCCCTGCCACGCCCACCAAGCCACATCACACCCACCAAGCCACGCCCACAGAACTGGTAGTAAAAGAATTGGATTTCACCACTGGTACGTAGATATCCAGGTAGGCTTCGTTCTATATTGGACTATCAGTAATTCTATCTTGTCTTTTTCCCCGCCTCCTCCTGTTTACTTGTCTCTCCAGCGGGACACTGTGGGGAGCCAGGTTCTATTGTCAATGGCCAGATCAATGGAGAGAACTACAATTACCGTGGCAGTGTGGTGTACCAGTGCAACCCTGGCTTCCGGCTCATTGGCATGTCGGTCCGCATCTGCCAGCAAGATCACCACTGGTCCGGGAAGACTCCTGTTTGTGTGCGTAAGTATGTTGCCATTTTAATTACACAGCCTGACTCAGAACTTTGATAGAGAGCTCAGGAAGAAAAGGAAAACAAAAAACAAAAAAACCCAGAGGATGAGGCTGCAACTGCTCCATTTCCCAGTCCTGATTCCCCAGATGTCTCCTTAGCTGCCAAAAATCTTGCAAGTTTCAATAGTCTAGCATAAGATTAGGTAAAGGTAAAGGTTACCCTTGCATGTATGTACTAGTCATTCCCGACTCTAGGGGGCAGTGCTCATCTCTGTTTTAAAGCTGAAGAGCCAGCGCTGTCCGAAGATGTCTCTGTGGTCATGTGGCCGGCATGACTCAATGCCAAAGGCACACGGAATGCCATTACCTTCCCACCAAAGGTGGTCCCTATTTTTCTACTTGCATTTTTTACCTGCTTTCGAACTGCTAGGTTGGCAGAAGCTGAGACAAGTAACGGGAGCTCACCCTGTTATGTGGCACTAGGGATTTGAACTGCTGAACTTTTGATCAACAAGCTCAGCGTCTTAGCTGCTGAGCCACCGCATCATAAGATTATGCAAGGATTTTTGAGACTCCTGGCTTCATTCCATCTGGTCTATCACTTCTTCTCTCTTTCACCTACCCCCTCTCCCCCAACTATTGGTTTTATTGCAATTTCTCTCTTTGATTGTTCTGGGCCACCCAAAGCCTTTGGGAGTAAGTAGCAAACATTTAATAAAATGCTATGAAATCCAGTAGGAATAATTCTGGTTAAAAGTCACCAGTTTTGGACGTCCCAAAGGTGCTTTTCCAAAAGGCAACTGGACTTTCTTGGGGGTTTTTTCCTTGAAAATGTTTCACTTCTCATCCAAGAAGCTTCTTCAGTTCTGAAGAACAGAAGTTCAGAGAACTGAAAAAGCTTCTTGGATGGGAACTGAAACTTTTTAAGGAAAAAAACCAAAGTCCAGTTGCCTTTTGAAAAAGCATATTTGGAACAACCATGACCTGGGTGATTGAGAATCTCCATAGACAACAGTTTGGGAGTTAACTGGAGCTCCCACATAACCTGACAAGGTAACATCAGTTCATTAGCTCCTTTTTACTGACCAGCCAGGTAATAATAGGCCTAGCTTGGTCACACCAGCCAGTTTTGGGATGTATGATCAGTGCTGTCAGTTAGCTCAGTAAGGGAGAGTTTTGATTTTTTTTTTATTTTTCAGCCACTTTCTCTCCAGCTCCTTTTCTTGGAGAACTAAACTGGGCCAATTGACTGAATTTAGGTGTTCCCACAACTTGAGTAAAGGGATGAGATTGTTAGCCCTGTATAGCACAGTTTAGAGCAAAACATAACTCACTCTAGTTAATTGATTTGGATCATTGGTCCATCCTTTCATATTTCTAGAATCCCTCACTCCTGTTCTGCCCCAGCTATGGATCCCAAAGAACACAGCACACACAAAGTTTGTACAAAACTTAATTTACTAAAATAACTCAGTCTTTTTCAAAACAAAGGCTGGTAATAAACTTTCTTAACAGCCTACAAGAAACCAAAGATAAAGTAATCACAATCTTACTAAGATTGGCAGAATGCCCAGAAGCAATTTGCAGAGAATCCAGATGCGAAGTAGAGTGAATTAAAAGTTGTTCCCTACAAATTGCTTCAGACGAGTTCCTCCTTAAATAGGCTAAGGGAGTGGCCAATTAGCCCCAAGCCTTACTCTCGAGGAGACCTCCTCCTGAGGAGCCACTCCTGCCTTTTGGCCACTCTGCTCACCCGTGCATCGAGAAGAGGCTCCTCCTCTTCTTCCTCTTCACTTATGGGAGCTTCTGGAGGTTCTGAAGGCCCTGGCTGAATCCCCGCCTCTGGCACCACATCTTCTCCAGCCTCCTCATTGTCTGACTTGAGTGCCAGCTGCACAGGCTGCTGTTGCAACACCACACCAGCCTCCTCGCTGTCCGAATCAGCTACAATCCGCACAGGCCACTGATGGGCTACAACAACTCCCTTCTGCAGACCCAGTTAAAAACATGGTGAAAGCAGAACTTCTAAGGATTGTATACTTTACTGGATCAAAAATATGATTTCTGAAATATTCAAAGATGCATCCAGGATAGTTAAGCCGTCCTACAATTTTGGTTCACCCAAAATTATCAGCAGATCCACTGTTGGTTTGATTATGTGCCCATTCTAGACATTATTTCTGTTAAGTCTTTTCCTTATGACAAAAATCATAGAAATGTCATAGAATCATAAGGTGGAAAGAACCTTGGAGGTCTTCCAGCCCAACCTTCATTTGTCCAAGATGGTATAAGGCAGAAGTCCTTATAGCATCCTGGACAAATGGTTGTTCCATCTTTTCTTGAAATGCTCCAGTGATGAAGCACTCACAACTGTGGGAGGCAAGTGAATTTAACAATTCACTTGGGTGGCTCTGCAAGATTCATCTTCTATAAAGAAGGACGGATCTATCAAGATTCACAAGTCATCATGGATTTATGCTATCCCTTGAGCTTCAAAGGAATCACCCTTTTTCTCCTGTTCATTTTGGTTGAAAGAAGATGCTCAGCTGAGCACATATTTGATCTGCCTCTGTTTCTATTGTTATTTCACTCACTTTGCATTCGCCAAAGTAGTAATTTGTTTGCTAAAGAATACTCAACAATTCCACTACAGGTCTTCCTCTCGGGATCTAAAATTAATCACATGTACTTAAAGGGCATTTTAAGATGGATATAAGATGCCAAAACAAATCCTACAAATTTCGACAGACCATTCTACCCGTGGGAAGATCAGTTTGCTGTATGTGACACCACTGAGACTACACAGGAAAAAACAACAACACGTTGCTTAAAACCTATAATTAACATTCTTTGACTAGTCTTCCATGCAGTTACGCAGTTACCTTCCCTTCTCATTGTGAATGCCTGATGCATTTTGCTACAGCCTGCAAGGAGTAGAGAAACCCTTTGGCTCTACCTGTGAGACATACAACAGACATCAGCTTTTCCAAGAGGAAGAGCATATCCCTGGAAAAGCAATGGGTTCAAATTCAGATCCCTTATTTGGGATTGTATAAAAAAGAACATAAGACATTTTAGTAATTAAGAAGCAGGTTTTATTTCCTCTTTCCTCCTTTGAGCAATACAAAAAAGATGCTGAGACCCTGGAAAGTGTGCAGAGAAGAGCAACAAAGACAAAAAAGGGTTTGGGGGCTACATTGTATGAGGGTTGAGGGAACTAGGTAACTGTATCAGTGGTGGGTTTCGAAATATTTTACTACCAGTTATGTGGGTGTGGTTTGGTGGGCGTGTCTTGGTGGGAGTGGCAGGGGAAGGATACTGTAAAATCTCCATTTCCTCCCCACTCCAGGGGAAGGATACTGCAAAATCCCCATTTCCTCCTAATCAGCTGGGACTTGGGATGCAGAGAATAGATGGGGGTGGGGCCAGTCAGAATGTTTACTACCGGTTCTCCAAACTACTCAAAATTTCCGCTACCGGTTTTCCAGAACCTGCTGAAACCCATCTCTGAACTGTATGTCTAGCCTAATCCTAGAGAAGGATTGGGATGACATGATAACTGTCTTCCAGTACATGAGTGGCTATCACAGAGAAAAGGGGATTGACTTATTTTTAAAAGCACCAGATGGCAGGATAAGAATTAGTGGGTGGAAGCTTATTAAAGAGAGATCCAACCTAGAAGTAAGGAGAAATTTTCTGAGAGTGAGAACAATCATGGAATACCTTGCCTCTTAGAGTTGTGGATACTCTGTCACTGGAGGTTTTCAAACATAGACTGGACAACCATTTGACCAGGATAATATAAGATCGTCTACTTTGAGCAAGAGGTTGGACTAGAAGACCTCCAGTGTCTCTTCCAGCCCTATGATTCAATGTTCAGTTGTGCTACTAGTGGCTAAAACTGTATTCCAAGTTCCTACTTTGAGTCTTTCCAAGAGCAAGATCCTCACTGGAGTCCTTTCCTCATGTAACCCACCACAAAGACAATAATTCCCCAAATCTTATGACAGTCAGATACCCTGTTTCCCCCAAAATAAGACATCCCCTGATAATAAGCCCAATCGGGCTTTTGAGCACATGGCAATAAGGTCAAGCACTTATTTCTGGGTTCAAAAAAATATAAGACAGGGTCTTATTTCGGGGAAACACGGTATATCTGTTGTATTTATAAGGATCAAGAAAGTTCTACGGTTGGGCTAGACAAGAGCAATATAAGTGCAAGCTTCAGTTGCTGCCATATATGCTCATTATTCAAAAATATTTCTGTGAATATGTTTGAGCCATCATTTTTTCTTTCTTGCTCACTTTCTGATGTGAAATAAATCTTTTCAGGGCCTCCTCCCTTTCTCCTTGGCAGGTTATTAATTCTACTGTTCACATTTCAAAACCTGTTTTATCATCCACCATGATCTTAATCCTTTCTGGTTTCTTCCAACCCCTTCTTGTTAGTTTCACAATGCCAATAGCAAAGTATCCTGCTTGATGTTCCATTCTGTATACTTCCCACAAGACAACTAAAAAGGCCCATCATAAGCACCCTTGAGGAAAAATGGAGGCCTCAGAGATGAGAATGGGTTGGAACGAGGGTGTTGTCCTCAACACAATAGTGGGATATAACACTCAAATACCTCAAGCCAGAATAGTTATGTTGGATTCTGAGGGGAAACCCCCCCCCCTTTCCAGCATGTTTTGTATGTGTACCTGTAGGAAATAAAGAATTAAAAAGCTGTTTCATTTGCAACATTTTTCTTGTGGCCTACAGCATTTTAACTTACAATGTGCTATTTCACCATTTTAAGGGAAATATTGTAGCATGCCCTTTATTTTATTTCCCCCATACACGTTTTAGGAGACCGCATTCTGTTTCAATGAGTGTATCGCTCTGAGGGTTTTAACATTACACGTGTGAGTTGATAAGCTTGGCTAAGTTAGATCCATGGGGGGAACGTAGAGGAGATTTTCTATGACAGTTATTTCTATTAAGTGTTGAAAAGAGAAATCCTTGCTTCAGGTTAAGCTCAGCCTATGATGACTGTACAAACACATTCATATACTGTAGTTTTCTTGGGAATGGTATATAAGTGGTTTAATATTTTTTCTGGGATTTTAAAAAAAATTTCCTATGACCTATCATGCTCAACTGTGCTTTTTTGAAATCAGTCAAGGTGAGCTAAATGCTACCATCTACCTTAACACCTTGGTATATAACTGCATTAAAACATTGAGCTAAATGCTTGAGGATGGTATCATTAGTCTTCACCAAATTAAGACAATTTGCACAAATTATTCATAGCTTCAGAGGAGGTTAGGCTTCCCATGATACTTGTATGGATGAAACCTAACCATATTATTATTAGTTGATAATATAATAATAATAATATAATTATCCTGTGACAATATCTGTAACACCATCAAACAACCACATTTGCCTATCCCACGTTCTTGAAAAGGGCTTGATAGGCAGAGTCCAGTCTGACCATCTGACTGACTGTGCAACAGACCATAATAATAATGGCATTATTATTACTGCACAGTCAGCCAAATCTTTAGACTGGATTGGCATTTTTATTCGTTTATCAAGTCCTACCTGGGATAGGCAGCTGTGGATGCTTGATGGTCTTAGAGGTATTCTCACAGAATGTAAGTTGTATCAAATAAAGCTGCCTTTTGCAATTGACTGATGGTGATTTTGGTGCTCTTGATGTTTTGGAATTGCATCCAAGGCACCTATTACTATTAGTACTACTGTTGCTTTATTTTTCCATAGTTGTTTTACTTTTATTTAAGGCAGCAATTGTCAAGCTCTTCTTTCTCTTTTTTCATTTTATATGCTAACCATCGTCCTGGTTTATTAGCATTTTTAAAAAAAATTGCTTTGTAGCTTTTATTTTATTTGCCAATTCTTCATTTTCCATTAAATTCATCTTATGTTTTTTTCAGATCCATCAATTTTTTAATCTTTTTGTCGTGCAGGTTTTTTTTGCAATTTCAACTCTAATCTCTAATATTCTTCCTCTAAATTCTTTTGCATTTGCCTGTTCTGTTTATTTCGTTTTCCTAAATATGTCATTGTCAATCCTCTAATATATGCTTTACTAGTATCCCACACATTTTGTAAAGCTCTTCTTGACAGACAATATCAATCAATCAATCAATTTTACAGTCATAGACCAGAGACCATTGACAGACAGTAGTTGAAAGCAATTATTTTGATTATTTGTCTGTTGGTTGTTACCTATACGGTGGAAAGCACTATGTTTCTTGGATAGTATCAGAACAACAATGTCTGCCAGAAATGGAGAGGGGCTGGTGAAGGCCAGGAATCTCTGAAAGAAAATCTGTAACTAAAATACAATTCTTCCTTCAAATATCCTCCTTTTCCGATTGTCTGTGGAGATTCTCAATCATCCAGGTCTTATTTGCCATCTTCCAAAAGGCAACTGGACTTCCTTGTTTTTTTTCTATGAAAACTGAAGAAGCTTCTTGGATGAGAAGTGAAATGTTTTCAAAGAAAAAAAAAAACGCCAAGAAAGTCTAGTTACCTTTTGGGGAAAAAATAACACCTTTGGGACTCCTTTCCCAACCTTTAAAAACCTGCTGCTAAACTTAGTCAGCCTAGAGAGGGGAAGGGCGTGGCTTTCATTGTATGGCTTCAAAAGAAATCAGATGCTCCTAGAAGATGGCAAACCTGGGAGAAATCTCACTTGTAAGCACTTCATTCTATTGTAGTTGGCATTTGTATGTCCTTGAGCCAGGGAACAAGGCAAGGATGTAATATCTTACATATTTTACTAGAAGAGTCCTCAAATCCTCTGCTGGAAATAAAATTCCCTATTCCACCAGGCTTGAAATTTTAGGCCTGGATAGCCTTGAACTATGCTGTCTACATTCCGATCTAAGCTTAGTACACAAGATTATCTACCATAATGTCCTACCTGTTAATGAGTACTTTAACTTCAACCGTAATAACACAAGGGCTATCAATAGATTCAAACTCAATGTAATTCGCTCTAATCTTGATTGCAGGATATATGACTTCTGCAATAGAGTAGTAAATGTCTGGAACACTCTAGCTGATCCTGTTATTAGTCTCTCTAACCGCCATACCTTTTACCTTAAACTGTCTACCGTGGACCTTTCACGTTTCTTAAGAGGTCCGTAAAGGGGGCGTGCATAAGCGCACCAGCGTGCCTACCGTCCCTGTCCTACTGTCCCCATTTATATGTACTCATTCGATATGTTTATGGCTATGTTTTGCTTATTTGTATCCTTTTATTTGTGCCAATTTTTTTTTCATGTGTCCATGTCTATGTCTATACTGTTACTTGTTTCCTTGTACTTGTTGACAAATAAATAAATAAAATAAAACAAATTCTCTCTGCAGCCATCACCTGTGGTCACCCAGGCAATCCAACAAATGGCCTGACCCAAGGCACTCAGTTCAATCTCAACGATGTGGCCAAGTTTACATGCAACATTGGATATCGCCTTGAAGGGACTTCCAAGTCCCAATGCTTGGCTAACGGCCAGTGGAGTAAACCCTTGCCCATCTGTCGCAGTAAGTTGTATTTCTCTATCCCCCCTCCTTCTTCCTCCCTCACCCTTATTTCTGCAATCGAAATCTGTTCTACAGCCTGGAGCAGCGTCTCCTCTGATGGAACTGCCGTCAGCGTAACCTGACTGTGTTTCTTTTCAACGTGTCCCAGCAGATTCCTGAAAGAAAGAGGGGTCTTTAGCTCAGCAGAGTTCAGCTTCAGTGTCATGTGGAAAAGCATAGATAAAAAGAAAAGCCCCTGGCCTAACGGCTTGGCGATGATTAAAACTAAAATCAAACTGTATCATTATTTATTTCATTTAAAAGACTTGCATGGCTACCCATCTTAAATCCCAATTCTGGGCGCCTCACGATCACAATAAAATGGCAAGAACTCTAAATCCATTTAAAAAAAAAAACTAAATGAATGAAGCATGTCCAAAATACATAATTATAATGTTTCAATCATTATTTAAATGAGTGCAGTGGAAGGCATAAAGCACCTAGAGCAGTGATGGCTAACCTTTTTGTTGTCGTGTGCCAAAAGCGGGGGGAGTGTGGAGGGGTCGCGCACACGTGTGCCCGCACCCATAATTCAAGAGGCTTTCTTGGAGTCTGGGGAGGGTGAAAATGGTTTTCTCCACCCGCCAGAGGCCGGAAACGGACAGTTTCCCAACTTCCGGTGAGTCCAGAAGGCCCGAAAATCAGCTGGCTGGCGCATGCATGCGTGCTGAAGCTGAGTAGGGCAACACTCGCGTGCCCATAGATATGGCTCTAAGTGCCACCTGTGGCATGCATGCCATAGATTCGCCATCACGGACCTAGAGTATTGTTTAGTTTTGCTTCTTCAAATGAGCTCTCTCAGCCACCTCTCTTCAGTACAATAGAAGAGAATATACGTAGCTCTGGGTTGAACTCAGAGAGCACCAAGGACTCCATTCTTCACAACAATTCCTACTTATTCATATCCTGCTACATGAAAAGGACAGTGCAGTGGCTCAGCAGTTAAGATGCTGGGCTTGTCAGTTGGAAAGCTGGCAGCCCAGGTTCGAGACTCAAGTGCCACATGGTGGGTTGAGCTCCCGTCCTTGCCCCAGCTCCTGCCAACCTAGCAGTACAAAAACATGCAAATGCGAGTAGATAAATAGGTACCACTTCTGTGGGAAGCTAACAGCACTCTATGATGTCATACTGGCCATGTGACTGCGGAAATATCTTTGGATAGCACTGGCTCAATGGTCTTGAAATAGAGGTGAGCACTGCCCCCTATAGTCAGCAATGACTAGTAGAGTAAAATCACAGGGATTCTTTTACTTTTATCTTTTACATGAAAAGGACCAGAGCCTTCGCCTTATAACACCTTTTCTATGAACAAATGAAAACGGGGATATGTGTAAAAAACAGAAGAGCAAAGGAAGAGATGGACCTCCCACTCAAACGGAGCGTATCTTTTGCCAAGAATGCCTAGTGCATTCTGAGCACCATATTACAATAAATATTTAAAACTCAGCATTAAATAAATTGGAAGGACCAAAAGAAATTCACAATTTCAGAGTATATGCATGATAGCAATACATAAATACAGTTGTAGTTACAATGGGCAATAGAAAGCCTTGGACCAAAACACCCAACTCAGTTGGATTCTTGCTTAAAGATCTCAACTGGATATTGATTTCTAAATTCTTCTGGGTTGCAAAGAATGTCTTGCTTTTGCTAGACTAGGATTGATATAGCCAGCACTTGAATAATCCATTTTAGCAAACATACACACACACACAAACACACACTCACACTCACACTCTCTCCCTCCCCCTCTCCTTCTCCCTCTCCCTTTTCAGAATGTCAGATTCTGAAAACCAAGAAAGACATACTGAGGTCTTTCCAAGTAGTTTCCTTTATTGTTCCTCACCATTAGACAGAAATCTTGCAACCTAAAGCAACTACTTGCACCATTAAGGATATACTCTGAGTACTTCTAGGGAGGAGCTGTCTTAATTTTCTTCCTCCCACACAAACCGTCGAATTGTTACCATATTTAGCTCCTCTGGGATGCAACCCCTTCCTTCTGGGAATCCAGATTACATTCCATCACAGAGGAGAACCAAATGGTAGAACACTAGGATTTGACCCAGTGGCATTGATGGGAAGGGTTTAAAAAGTCAGGATGGCTAGTACACCCACATAATCAGAGCCCTAACCCCCTTTTGATGTGTGTCACATAGATGATACATGTGAAAAAGAGGTGGCACTTTAGTTGTGCCTTTAGCTTGCAGCCACTATCTTTTTGCTTACACCCACAGATAAGGGGTGGGTTCTACTTACCTTTACTACCGGTTCGCAACGGAATCGTGCACGTGTGCTTCCTTCGCTCGCAAGCGTGCCTTGCTTCTGTATATGCACAGAAGCTTCTGCGCATGCGCAGATGACTGATGACGACATCTGGGGCAGTGGGCTGGGCCTCCCGCCAGTTTTACTACTGATTCTTGTGAAACCAGTCCGAACTGGGGGCAACCCACCACTGTCATAAATACCCTTGATTTGATCTACTATCTTCCCATGTTATTTTCAAAAATAGAAAGGGAAAAAGAGAGATTCGTTTCCTTCTCTGTAACACTTTTTCATTTTTTTGTTGTTGCTAATATTCTTTTTATCTTCTGTGATTTGCTTGCAGTTGTAAATTGTACTGATCCTGGACACCTGGACAACAGTGTCCGTCAAGTGCAACCAAGTGGGCCTCACAGATACAGTTTTGGAACCACCGTCTCTTATCAATGCAACCATGGATATTATTTACTGGGCACCCATGTTCTTACCTGCCAGGGCGATGGGATTTGGGACCGCCTCCTCCCTGTCTGTCACTGTAAGTTCCTTGCTTTCTTTTTGCTTTGATTTCCATTCAGTTCGGAAAGGGAATGTATCCTTTACAGACTGTTTTGGGATTGTAATGGCTTCCCCCTGCCCATCTTTTTGGCCCCATGAACAAGGGGAAAGAGAAACTTCACAGTTTATGCCAACTGCTATGGTCCGACAGCAGCCTGCGGAGCTGGCAACTGAGTTGGACAGTGAGGAGGCTGGGGAGGAACATGGGCCAGTCCTGGAATCTGGGGAAGGCTCGGATGAGGGCTCTGTGTTAGAGGCAGAAATGGGGCCAGGGCCATCTGGGAGTGATGTGCGGACTCCTGAGCCTCCAGAGTCGGACATCAGAGAGGCAGAGGAACAGGAGGAGCCTGTTCCTAGTGCCTGCATGCACAGAGCTGCCAGAAGGCAAGAACAGTTAAAACAAAAGGGACAACTCGGGAGTAAGGCCTGGAGATGATTGACCCCTCCCATAAGGCTTAAAAGAGGAGCAAAGGCACGTGGGCCCTTTGAGGGAAAGCAATGTTATTAATTCTGTTCCCAGTGGGCATCTCTGTTTGATTCTGGACTCCGTGTGGCTTTGCCAAGTAGGTCTTTGGCAGCATGTCAAGGGAGATAAAGGTTGATGATTATCCCGAAGGACTTCTCCCGAAGGACTTTTTGCAACTAATTGGGACTCAGCTGTGAATGAAAGTAATTCACAGCTGTTGCAATAAAAGAGGTTTTTGGGGCTACTCGTGTGTTTTAATGACTCAGGAAGCCTAGGTCACAACACCAATCTTCCAGACTCTTAAGAGGAGCTTTCTAGTCCATTGCTTTAACCACTAATTTATTTACGGAGGTGATAATTTCCCAGGGGAATTTTTAATTTTGTACCAACTTTCTCAATTAGATTTCTCTGTTCTCAACATGACAATACATGATTCATTGAACTCTGAGCTTTTCAAATTTGTGTGTCGTTGAGATTTTGGAGGATCATGCAAACCAGCCACTGTATTCAGAATAGATATATTCAACATTTACCTCTAGGGTAGCCTACCCTGGAAAAACAGCGACTCGAGATTAAAACGATAAGTGTTGCATGGTTGTGGGGAAAACAGGGATCAATCAAAACAAATGAATGAAATAAAATATACCCTTGAGAGCAAAATAAAACACATACACATGCAATATTGTAAGAATGAGAAAGGAGGCACCAAAACTGAGGGGAGACCCTTTCAACAGAAATCATAGCAAAATGATCATTTTGATTTTCTGTTATTCCCCATTGTTGTTGATTGGCTTGTTTGGGCCCAAAGCCTGCCTGCATCTAATGGGACTCCCCCCCCCCCTTTTTTTTTTAAGCAGGAATCTTTTATTTTCCTATTTCATGAGACAGAGTGAGAAAGAGAGAGAGAGATTGCTTCCATCATATTACAGGTTTAGCTGGTCACTTGGCCCCTATCAGCATCATTAGCATTCTCTCTGAGAGGGAGAAATAGAAGCCATTAGCCACTAGAGATAATAAACCCAGAGATAATAAACAAGGGAGAAGATAGGCAATTAACCGCCTCTGGTTCTCCCGTTCTCTCTATGATTAGGCTGCAATCCATCTCCTCTCTTTGTGGCTGGAAACCTCATCATCCTGGAAGGTAGGAATACCACCTGGGTCACTTCCAACCTTATTAAACCACTCCCAGGAAGCTGGGCCAATGATGAGAAATTCTGGGATTTAAGAGTTCAGCAACATTCCTCATTCTGGTAGCTCCCAAGCTTGCTTTAGTTTCAAAGAGTTCAGAAGGTGTTTTTGAAGTCTCCAGGGACCCATTTTTAAGTCCCCACTTGATTTTATTTATTTATTTATTTTGTTGAGTACATATTAAATAATATATATAAGTATAAGCATGAATTGAATACCTAAAATGAATACAATTAAAGGGAACATTAGGACAGGGATGGTAGGCATGCTGGTGCACTTATGCACACCCCTTAAGGACCTCTTAGGAATGGGGTGAGATCAACAGTAGCCAGTCTAAGGTTAAAATTTGGAGAGTTTTGAGATGAAACCACAGAGTCAGATAGCGCATTCCAGGCATTGACCACTCTGTTGCTGAAGTCGTATTTTCTGCAATCGAGTTTGGAGCAGTTCACTTTAAGTTTGTATCTATTGTGCGCTCGTGTATTGTTGTGGTTGAAGCTGAAGTAGTCATTGAAAGGTAGGACGTTGTAGCAGATAATTTTATGAGCTATGCTTAGGTCAGACCGAAGGCGGCGTAGTTCTAAATTTTCGAATCTCAATGAAAGACTCATTCACAATCTATCAATGCTCCCTTCCCTTCACTAGATAGTGGTCACGAGTATAAAGTTTAGAAATACCACATATATACATCTTTGAATTCCCAAAGGAAGCCACAAAAATTTTTTTTGATGCAGTGAGTGCAATATTTGGAGAAGAGGGATCAGAGCTCCCTAACTTGTGCCAGCTAAAACGGAAACCAGCGATGGTTATACCTCTGTGGGAAGCAAGGAAGAGACGATCAGAGATGAATGCCACCTCTAAAATTATATCAAAGAATAGAATAGAATAGAATAGAATAGAATAGAATAGAATGGAACGGAACGGAACGGAACGGAACGGAACGGAACGGAATTTTTTATTGGCCAAGTATGATTGGACACGTAAGGAATTTGTCTTGATGCATACGCTCTCAGTGTGCATAAAAGAAAAGATACGTTCATCAAGAATCATAAGGTACAACACTTAATGATAGTCATAGGGTACAAATAAGCAATCAAGAAACAATATCAATATAAATCGTAAGGATACAAGCAACAAGATTACAGTCATACAGTCATAAATGGGAGGAGATGGGTGATAGGAATGATGAGAAGATTAATAGTAATGCAGACTTAGTAACTAGTTTGACAGTGTTGAGGAAATTATTTGTTTAGCAGAGTGATGGCATTTGGGAAAAAATGTTTTTGTGTCTAGTTGTTCTGGTGTGCAGTGCTCTATAGCGTCGTTTTGAAGGTAGAAGTTGAAACAGTTTATGTCCAGGATGCGAGAGGTCTGTAAATATTTTCCCAGCCCTCTTTTTGACTCGTGCAGTATACAGGTCCTCAATGGAAGGCAGGTTGGTAGCCATTGTTTTTTCTGCAGTTCTAATTATCCTCTGAAGTCTGTGTTTGTCTTGTTGGGTTGCAGAGCCAAACCAGACAGTTATAGAGGTGCAGATGACAGACTCAATAATTTCTCTGTAGAACTGGATCAGCAGCAGTATAGGCATTAAAACCCTGCAACTATTGACACCCCCTCCAAAATGAATTTAAAGTTAAATGTCTTTCTGTATTTCTCATCTTTATCTCTTTCCAATGTCTTTAATCCACAATTCTGTCCCTTTTAAATGAGTACATTTACCTGCACTTAAATTAAAAAAAACAAAACAGTGGAACTAAAATCCAGTTTATATATTCATCAAACGGTCTGTCTCAAGTCAGCCCTTAACACAATTAGCAAAGACTGAATTCTTCAAGCATCCTTAGGAGGTTTAGGGAATAATTCAAGACAGAATATCGGCCTAAATAGAAGAGTTTCTCCAAGGGTAGATATTGGTCACACCATCAGTCTGCTAATTAATATGACTAATGACTTCCAGAGAAATGTTACAGCTCAAGGGAAGAGATCAGCCTTATATTTATCAAGACGTGGAAGGTCCAGATTTTGCACGTTTAAAGTACAAGGTAGTTTAGTTTAAGTGCTCCTCCTCTCTCTCCTTCTCTTAAAGCAATTAAAGGAGCAAATGTCTTTTTAATTTAATTTCTTCAGCACAGTCTGTTTTCCCTGCATTGTTGGCATTTCATCTCGCCTCCATGGAAAATTGATACAATAATCCCATTTTGCTGTAATTAGGGTAGCAAAACTGTTGCACAAGTAAGCTTATCTAGCTGTCATCTTAGCCATTGACTCTATCCTAAGAATTTATCTCAAGCGGACATCACTTTGGCACGGACATAAAAAAGCAGAACATTTTGAGAAAAGCAAGGAATCTTTAATTGGAATCTTTCAATTAGCTAAATGTAGAGTCTTGTGCAACATTTTTTGAAAGAAGTGCTTTGCAGTGTGCAGGAACACAAAGCTTGGAAAAATGGAAGATAATAATAAAAAATGACAGGAGGAGACAGGTTGACAATATCACTGATGACACATCCCTGATCTTACACGACACAAAGGAGCAGTTATTGGCAGGCAGTCCTGCTAAAATGATGCCATTGAGCCCCAAAGAATCAGAGGTGACTGAATGACTGAATGCCAACTATCTGAGATCTAAGGAATCTCCTGGACTTTCATTGTTAACCAAGTTGTGGCATTTTGACAGGTAGACATGGCTTTTTGAGCACTTAGAATGAGTAAATAACCCACCAGACAGTCGGCAGAGTTCAAAAGATCTGAAAGTACTGGTGATGTCCACTTCTACTTTCTCTTTCCAGTATTCCCCCATGGAAGGAATACTGCATCCAAAAAGGATTAGAGACTTCAACAGTTCTCCTGCAGAAAAGACCATGAAAGCAATATAGACACCACCAGGGGTGAAATCCAGCAGGTTCTGACAGGTTTTGGAGGACCGGTAGCGGAAAAATTGAGTAGTTCGGAGAACCAGCAAATACCACCTCTGGCTGGCCCCAGAGTGGGGTGGGAATGGAGATTTTGCAATATCCTTCCCCCAGGAGTGGGGATGGAATGGGGATTTTGCAGTATCCTTCCCCTGCCACACCCACCAAGCCACGCCCACAGAACCGGTAGTAAAAAAAAATGGATTTTACTACTGGACACCACCACCACAGGAAGTCTATAGGGATGAGTAAAGAATAAAAATAAAAATGATGGTGAGGACTATAATCAAAGATTTGGCCTTCTTTTTCGTGCATTATAGGGGGCGGGGCATGTGTAAAATGGGGAGAGAATTCCATTTATGTGGTGGAGACTTCCATCATCATATTTTTGACTTATTCCTGGCTTAGACCCCC